AATCGTTGTGATATGTTTTACGGTTTTAAAACACTAATATTTGTGTTCAGCGAGGTCTTCCGAGTGTAACAGTACCCCTCATGTACAGGTTTTATGGTGTTCTCAAAAGTTACACAGTCAATTATAAGGCTTGCGTTTCAGTTTTCTCACATTGAAATTTGCCAGATTGGTTACGTTGCCTTTGAGACCATATGGTAGCCCAGGAATGAAAATTACCCCTATGATGGCATACCATTTGCAATAGTAGACAACCCAAGGTATTGCAAATGGGGTATGTCCAGTCTTTTTTAGTAACCACTTGGTCACAAACACTGGCCAAAAGTGGCATTCAAATTGGCATTTTTCACACACAAACAAATATTAACACTAACTTTGGCCAGTGTTTGTGACCCATGCTAAAAATATAGGGAATTTAATTTGCTAGCACGATATTTAACCCTATAACTTTCCAAGACACCATAAAACCTATACATGGGGGGTACTGTTTTACTCGGGAGACTTTGCTGAACACAAATATTAGTGTTTCAAAACAGTAAAATGTATTACAACGATGATATCACCAGTAAAAGTGAAGCATTTTGCATTTTTCACACACATACAGCACTTACACGGACGATATTATTGCTGTGATACTTTTCACTGTTTTGAAACACAAATATTTGTGTTCAGCGAAGTCTCCCGAGTACAACAGTACTCCTCATGTACAGGTTTTATGTTGTTTTCAAAATTTACAGCGTCAAATATAAGGCTTTATTTTTTTCACATTAAAATTTGCCAGATTGGTTACGTTGCCTTTGAGACCCTATGGTAGCCCAAGAATGAAAATTACCCTCTATGATGGCATACCATTTGCAATAGTATACAACCCAAGGTATTGCAAATGGGGTATGTCCAGTCTTTTTTAGTAACCACTTGGTCACAAACACTGGCCAAAAGTGGCATTCAAACTGGCATTTTTCACACACAAACAAATATTAACACTAACTTTGGCCAGTGTTTGTGACCAAGTGGTTACTAAAATAAACTGTACATAGGGGATACTGTTTTACACGTGAGACATCGCTGAACACAAATAGGTGTAGTTTTAAACATTATTATGACATTCACAGTTACAATGTCAAGTAGAACAAATTTTTTTTTTAAAAATTCTTATTTTCTCCCATTTTAAAAAAAATATTTTATTCATATTAAATTATGTTTCATACCTAAATATTTGAAAGCCCTGTTTCCCCTGAATAAAATAATATATAAGTTGTGTGGGTGCACATAATATGAAAGAGGTGAATTACGCCTGAACAGACATATAGCGCAAATTCAAGGTTTTGTTTACATTTTGTTTTGATCACAACATGTACATTTGGCTCAGTCTTTAACCCCTTAAGACCGCAGGGCGTTCTATGCTGTCCTTATTTAGGTGGCTCTAAACGCCACAGGGCGGCATAGAACGCCCTGCGATCTTTTGTACTTACCCGGCCGCCAGCGATCCCACGCCGGCGATCGCGGTATGGGGACTTACCTGGGAGCCCAGGGAGTCCCCCTCCGTCCTATTCGGCCCCCCTGGCCATTTGATCGTGAGGTCCTTGCGAGGACCCCGCGATCACATGGACGGCACAGCCGTCCAAGGCATTGCCAGCAGGGGGACTGCCTGTAATGACAGGTACTCCCCCTGCTGCCTGGAAATAAAATTAAAAGATGTTAAAACAGTGTAAAATTAAATATATACTTAGATCATATATATTTATTATATATATGATCTAAGTATATATATATATATATATATATATATATAGTGATGTCCCGAACGGTTCGCCACGGACTCATCATTGAGTAAACTTTGACCCTGTACCTCACAGTCAGCAGACACATTCCAGCCAATCAGCAGCAGACCCTCCCTCCCAGACCCTTCCACCTCCTGGACAGCATCCATTTTACATTCATTGTGAAGCTGCATTCTTAGTGAGCTGTCCAGGAGGTGGGAGGGTCTGCTGCTGATTGGCTGGAATGGGTCTGCTGACTGTGAGATACAGGGTCAAAGTTTACTCAATGATGAGTCCGTGGCGAAACGTTCGTGGCGAACCGTTCGGGACATCACTACACATAAATACACATGCACTGTCTAAGTGTATTTTAATATTAATATATAATTATATATATTAATATCAAAATACACGTACAATGATATTGATTAAATATATATATAATTTTCATTATATATATTTATATATAATAATAAATATATAAATACAATAAAAATAAAAATAGATAAAAAATATATATACATGCGTAATTTCGTTCTAACTGTATTTTAAAATTAATATATATATATTGATATCAAAATACATGTAGAACGAAATAATATATATATCTATATATATAAGTATATACGTATATATCACTATATATATACCTATATATAAATAAAAAATAAAAAATTATATACACATATATATATATATATAATTCTAAGTATATATTTATGTAATAATTTTACATAATTAGGTCATTTTATTAATTACAATTTGCAGGACCTGCCTGACAACCCAGGCCCTAGCACTATATTTAACCCTGTAACTTTCCAAGACACCATAAAACCTGTACATGGGGGGTACTGTTTTACTCGGAAGACTTCGCTGAACACAAATATTAGTGTTTCAAAACAGTAACATGTATTACAACGACGATATCGTCAGTGAAAGTTTTTGCATTTTTCACACACAAATGGCACTTACATTGACGATATAATTGTTGTGATACGTTTTACTGTTTTGAAACAATAATATTTGTGTTCAGCGAAGTCTCCCGAGTATAACAGTACCACTCATGTACAGGTTTTATGGTGTTTTCAAAAGTTACAGAATCAAATATAAGGCTTGCGTTTCAGTTTTTTCATATTAAAATTTGCCAGGTTGACCTTCATACCGTACGGTAGCCCAGGAATGAAAATTACCCCCATGATGGCATACCATTTGCAATAGTAGACAACCCAGGGTATTGCAAATAGGGTATGTTCAGTTTTTTTTAGTAGCCACTTAGTCACAAACACTGGCCAAAATTTGCGTTCAAATTAGTTTTTTGCATTTTCAAATATTAACACTAACTTTGGCCAGTATTTGTGACCAAGTGGCTACTAAAAAAGACTGGACATACTCCATTTGCAATACCTTGGGTTGTCTACTTTTGCAAATGGTATGCCATCATGGGGGTAATTCTTATTCCTGGGCTACCATATGCTCTCAAAGGCAACGTAACCAAGCTGGCGAATTTCAATGTGAAAAACTGAAATATGTAACATGCTATATTTGACCCTGTACCTTCCCAAAACACCATAAAACATGTACATGGGTGTACTGTTTTACACATGAGACATCGCTGAATGCAAATATGTGTATTTTATTGCAGTAAAAACAAACAGTATTATGACATTCACAGTTAAAATGTCACGTAGAGCTAAACAAATTTTTACAATTCTTATTTTCTCCCATTTTTAAATATTTTATTTATATTAAATTATGTTCCATACCTAAATATTTGATGTTAAATGAAAGCCCTGTTTCCCCTGGATAAAATGATATATAATAAGGGTGGGTGCATTTAATAGGAGAGAGGTGAATTACGGTTGGACAGACATTTAGCGCAAATGCCAGGTTTTGTTTACGTTTTGTTTTGTTTACAACGTGTACATTTAGCTCAGTCCTTAAGGGGTTAAGGGGGTAATAAGCTATGATTTGACTGGTTTCAAAGAAACATTGGTATAATGTCCATTATAGCGTAATATTTTATAATATTTTAGGGGAACAGGTAGGGTTAAATGGTCTTGGCTAGATCCTAGTGCCTAATAGTACCACAACGTCTGGAATTTCATATAAACTTAAAGGGAAACTATAAAGTTATAAATAAGCATATATTGATTTATAAGATTCGAATTTACTACATGGCATTAAATTATTGGACTCCTGTAAAACTAAAAAAATATTAAAAAAAAGTTAAACTTACCTTTTATCTAGTGGCATCCCAGTCTCACCATGGTCACTGCACCTGCTCTCATCTATCACTGTGTTAGTGAATTGGACTCCCCTCACTGAGGTATCCTAAAGATTCTCAATTTTCAAGGCTTAGTTTTGTTTTGTGTCATTGTGCTTTGTGTGATGACACCACATGTAACAGCCTTCACTACAGACATTGTCTGCTGGGAGCTTGTATGGGTTTTCCATTGTATTTGTATGTAGTAACTGTGTGTGTCTCAGAGAGCTTGTGTGTATACCATTGTGTTAGTCTGTAGTCAATGTCTGTGTCAGACAGTAAATTTGTGTGTGAGCGCCAGTAAGCTTGTCTGTGTCAGTGAGCTTGTGTGATTTATTCAGGTGAAACATCCGTTTAAAAAAAAAAAAAAAAAAAAAAATATATATATATGTCGCAATGATGCCATTGGTGCACTGATGCTGATATCGGCATGAATATGGAGGATTGCCCTGGTCAGGGTCAAGCACAACAGACAGGGGCAGCCTAGAGAGTGGGTGTTGAAGCATTGTAACACCCATGGATAATCTGGGGGCAAAGGGCCACAGGTAAATAGCAATGTAACAGCTCCCAGAGTACATAAATATAAATACACACACACACTGTGTGACATGATGAATTATAGTTTTTTTTTGTTTCCAGTCCAGCCCTGGGCTTATCACCCATATTTGTTCAGGAAAGGTTGAAAATCCAGGTCTATGACTTTTTGTTTGTTTGATCGTGTTAATGTGCATATGTTCTGAAGCCTCTACTAATATCAGGAAGCTTTGCCTCATTGGCTGAGATCATCAATGTTGATGAACAAAGCATGAATTTATAACTTAAAATAAATATATCTATCTATATATATAATATGCAGATTAAAAAAAAGGAATAAGAGGATATACATAGGTAAAATTATATTTTTTATTAAAATGTAGAAGCAAACACGTACAATTTTGTAATGCATAAAACAATATCATAAAAAAACACTTATTTTGTTACTTAATCATTTATGCTTCAAAAATAGACATCTTTTATCTGTTATATGAACAATACTAAGAGAATGAAAAGTCCACATATTCTATAAAACTAGAAGAAATTGAAAAGAGAAATAACTGCAGCATGCTTCTGAGTGATGATTCCCATCTATAAAATTACGACTTAAAAAATGTAGGATCTCAAATGCTTCATTGTGAAAAATAACAGAAAATGTTCACTTTGGAAGAAAGTCAAGACGGGAAAAATCAAATGAGGCAAATAATGTAGGCTTTTCAGATTTTAACACATGGATGGCCCCATGCTGTGTGCATGAAGAAAGGAAAGGATTCATGTCAGAAGACAGTGGAAATAGCCTCATGTAGGAGAACACCCAGATCCCATGTTACTGTGAACGGTAGAGATAACCAAGGCTCTGGTGAATTTCACCCTGTTCAAATGTGAAAAAAAAATCTGAAAAACTTGTAGGAAAAAAAAGGGAAATAAATGTACGTTGGCTTCTGAAATGGAAAAAAAAATGTTATTTAAAGGGACACTATAGTAATCAAAACAACTTTAGCTTAATTAAGCGGTTTTAGTGTATAGATCATGCTTGTGAAGTCTCACTGCTTAGTTCTCAGCCATTTAGGAGTTAAATCACTTTTCTTCTGTTTATGTTTATGCAGCCCTAGCCACACCTCCCCTGGCTGTGACTGACACAGCCTGCATGAATACAAAATGGTTTCATTTTCAATCAGGTGCAACTTACTTATTTAATTACTTTTTTTTTTTTATCTCCTGCTCTGTAAATTGAACTTTAATCACATACAGGAGGCTCCCGCAGTACTAGCAAACTATTAACAGAGCAGGAAATAAGAAAGTGTAAATTAAACAGTATTTGCAATAAAGGAAGTGTAAACATTAGATTACTTTTTACAGGAAGTGTTTAGGAAGGCTGTGTTAGACACAAGCACAGAGGTGTGCCTAGGGCTGCATAAACAAAGTGATTTAAGTCCTAAATGGCAGAGATTTGAGCAGTGAGACTGCAGGGGCATGATATATACACCAAAACTGCTGTTTTGGTGACTATAGTGTCCCTTTAATATACTTTGGGGAAACTCTATAAAAATAAACATTTCTAAAAATAAAACTGTGTTCAAAGGAAATATAACTGCAAAAACAGTGCATTCTGTCAGACAAACAACATATTTTGCCATATAACTTTTAATTAATAAAGTTAAAATAACTAAAAGTAAACCAATATCTAAAAACTGAGAGGTATAGAAACAGGAGAAAGTGATAGCTTGCCCGTGCTGCCTATGTCTATTAGCAACACCAGTGGCACAGGGGTATAGGGGGTGTTAGCGTAGAAATAATAAAAAACGGTTTAATATGAATTCTCAATAGAGTATCCCCCAACTCCCATCACCCTTGCCCACACTGGCAGCACACTCTCCTTCCCCTCTATAATTCAACAGGAGCCGATCGACCTAACGGCTACCTAACTAAGCATTGTAAAATCATGAAGCTGGGTCCCTTGGAAGAGCCGCTAGTCGGCGAAACGCTCGTCGGGACTTCTAATAGCTTAAGGGTGGAGGAGGTTGACAGGGGACTATGCTGCAGCTGTTAGACTTTATTATTTTTCCTCTGTGTTAGCCACCCAGCTTCATGAATAATTGGGAGCTGAAAGGTTGGGTGAGTGCATGGAAAATCTGGGAATTTATTGAAATTATCCACAAGTTGTTGTCTCTGGAGGTTCATTATGTCCCTGGCTGTATAGTAAGTAGTCCCATCCTGTTGAAACCACATTTCAGGACAGTTTTCTCTTTGCGTCAAAATAATGGACCTGCCATTTTGAAACTAAAATTTCACTATTTCACTTATTGTTCCTTCATGAAATCACCCATGATGAATCTTCCAAGACTTATAAAAAATACCTGCAACAACAATTAACAAATTGGTTACTTACTTGTCCAATCCTACTATGAATTTTGTCCCACCTTGTACTATTGATGTGGTCTCTCATAAAATATTCTGTTAAGAATTTTTAAGAAATAATATGACCTTATTGAGGCATTCTGGGCAGTGAGGCATTCTGGGCAAAGTCTCCTTTATTAGCTAAAAAAAACTTCCATGCCAAGAACACATTTCATCTTGGTGGCCATTTGTAGAAAATTCAACCAACATCCTCCAAGCGACAGGTCTGCTAGAAAACAAGTTAAAGTGTAATAATTGTAGCCGATGGTCTTGTCTTGGAAGACAGAGTAATATATTCAAATTACTCCTTTGTTATTTACTGAGCACAATCACATATCTATTTGTCCTCTGCTTATATTTTTTAGGGAAAATACAAATATTCTAGTGTGACCGGTGATATTAATAAATTAGAAATAAGCCAGATGTTCCAATGGTTATCTTCTATATTCTTAACAGAACACTTTGGTAAGTAAATAAATAAATCGTGATAAACATTATTTCAATATTACTAAATGTCCATGCACAGTCAGGAAATAACTAATTAACCATAATAAACATTGCCCATTGGTATTATATTAGGGCCTGATACATTTTAGGTTTTAGTCATATGACACATGGACATAGGACTGAACAGTTTAATGGATCTGTTCAGAAAAAATAAAAAATAAAAGTTGCACAGTTTCTGTGTTTGGCATGCTGATTGTACAACTCCTAGTAGTGGTTATTATGGTGCTATCATGGAACTATAGTGCCTGTTAAACCAGGTTTTTATTGTTTTTTTCTTTTTAAGTTTGACAAACACAGAAGCTCTTTCCAGTACCCAAAGCACAGCCCTGGCAGCTCCTTGGATAACAAACATTCGCTTCTGCATTAGCCATCCTAAGTCACCCAAACTTAAACAGCAAGGACAGGCTGTGAGAACTATGGGTGGATTAAGCCAGCGCTTTTAGTCCATTACTACCAAAAGCAAAGATAGGCTGCAAGTGCTGGGGTGGGTTAGCCCTGTACACGACTTCTAATAGCAGTCCATGGTTGGACATATAATGCATAAACAATCGTCAGCAACAGCCAAGTGGCGACAAGGGATTTGGGCCATGGATGCCAGTGATAGAAACTATTTTATTGAACTGCTTTAAAATGGTTCGACAAAAAATGGGGGAATGCCAACCAAAAAAACATAGCAACAATTAACTTTTTACTGTCATTACAAATGCTAAAAAGGTAGAGATAATGAGAAAGCATTTAGATGATCTACAGATTAGTTTTACTTCTGGTTATGCCTACTTTCCCCCGATAGCAGCCAATGACAGGGGCACTTTCCTGGCAGAATGGAAGACTGAGAAACACATAAGGACAAATTCGAACAAACAGGATTGTGGATTTCAATCATGAATATGGTGACAAAAACATGTCCGTATCTACACTGGGATCAATATGAAACTAAAAGGTTTATTACACTAGCAAACATGGCCAACGTAAACATGAATATACCACTGAGAGTTGCCCCTTAACTTTTCATATAACAGAATACAGTATAGATATTTCGTAGATAAAAGGAAATGTCAGTTTGTATGTCTTCAGTAATATCTGAAAATGGGAATTGTCCCCTCAGGGCTCGTCATATCTTCAGGCAGTAGGACAGCATTGCGTAAGCTTGCATTAAGTTTTATATGGTCCCTTGTTCTATTATATAAGATCACAGCACAGAAGATAGATGGCATTCTGTGTTACCAGAACATTTCTTAGGATTAGAACTTTTGTCAGAGTTAGCTCATGGAGCCAAGGCTTTTTTTGTTGTAGTTGAGAAAATCAAAGGACAAATACTATGCATCTACAGGAAGAGCTCATACTGAGGCTTTAGATTCATAACAGAAAGAAAAGTGACTCAAATTATTCTGCAAGCCACTAACAGTCATGGTTTCATCGATATATCGACCGGCATAGAAATGGACATCAGTAGTACTGGATGGCTAGTTTCTGATCCTCAGCCAAAATAGATCATTTGTTCCAGTATCTCCTCACCTTGTGTTTTAGACATGCGACATTACCAGATACATTTATATTGTGTCTACATGATGGGTTAGGAAGGTCACTGGATTTAGTAAACTCATACATACTTGTATTAATCTGTTCAGTGATACCAAAAAATTATGTATCACAAAATTCCCCAAAGTATGACATTTGTAAATCTCAATTATATGTTTTAAGCATGTTAAACAAATACTTGCCTGATCAGATATTTTATCACATGCTGAGATAAATAGAACATAATACAGAGTAACACAACATGAAAACAATATAGAAGGTTCTTGATATTTTTATTTTCTAAATAAAAAAATACAAAGAGATGATGCAGGACTACAAATATTCTGATACCTTCAACATAGCATCTTGGTTTCAAACTAAGTATTTGCCAAATGCATCCATAAGGCACTTAGATAAGTTGATCTTTATTTAAAAAAATAAAATATGTGTTGAACATTCCCAAATACAAGTCCTTTGTGTGATGTTTGTATGCTTGTATGTACAATATTGTACATATTTACATCTTGTTTTTCTTGCTGCTATAATGGAACTTTGGGCTGCCTCGTTAACTTCAGAGCCTGAAAAACAAACAAATAATGAAGATTAAATCTGGCTGTTATATCGTGTATTACTAGTTAATGGAACATGTAGATTTAACTATAGCAATATGTACAACCAAGACGTAATCTATTGCAAAACTAGCGGATTGCCTTGAACCTATTTTAATCTGATCTTTCAGTGGTCAGCAGGAGCAGTCATGGTTTAAGGACCACTATAGTGCCAGGAAAACATACTCATTTTCCTGGCACTATAGTGCCCTGAGGGTGCCCCCACCCTCAGGGTCCCCCTCCCACTGGGCTGGATGGAGAGAAAGGGGTTAAACTTACCTCTTTCTCCAGTACCGGGCGGGGAGCTCTCCCCCTCCTCTCCGGCTGAATGCGCATGCGCAGAAAGAGCCGCACATTCAGCCAGTCCATAGAAAAGCATTCTCAATGCTTTCCTATGGACGCAAGCGTCTTCTCACTGTAAAAATCACAGAGAGAAGCGCGGAAGCCCTCTAGTGGCTGTCAATGAGACAGCCACTAGAGGCTGGATTAACCCATAGGTAAACATAGCAGTTTCTCTGAAACTGCTATGTTTACAGAAAAAAAGGGTTAATCCTATCTGGACCTGGCACCCAGACAACTTCATTAAGCTGAAGTGGTCTGTGTGCCTATAGTGGTCCTTTAAGCCTGGGGAGGCAGGTAGGAAATAACATTGTGCAACTCATGACGTATTTACTGTAAACCTCCGAACAATTGCACTGGGGAAATTCGGATGGGGTTTGCTGGGCCCTGAGGGGGTGTCACCAGTGACGTGACCCACATCACTAGCGACATCCATAAGGTGTGGGGCTGCCTGCTGATAAGCTCTCAGGATGCCTCAGCCTTCAGGACCATAAAGGGAGCACTGCTGAAGTGCATCTAATGATAGATAGCACATGATTTTTGCACAGGAAAATGGAATGGTTTATTTCACTGTTCTAGAAGCTCCATATGCCTTGCTTTTCTACTGTGCATGCAATGTATGTATATATCTGATTTCCCACTGTTTCTTATATGTACAATACATACTTGAACGTCGCAATAAGGAAGTTAAATTGCTTGCATCTAGGACGACAGGGAACTAAAACGGGATGACGGGACAGAACCGATTTTAGGGTCCTGTCCCACCGTCTTGTGTTAGTTCCCTTTTTGTCCCCAGATGTAAACAACTTTAATTCCTGGATATATTCTATATTTATCTATCTATGTGTATGAGTGAAAGTAACTATTTTGAACCGAATTAAAATATGCTCCTATTCCATAAAAGGACAGCTCCTCGTTAATAAACATATTAATACAAAACTTAACTGACCCCTGAGATATTTCTTGCTGCATGCAGAATAGAACATTGCTTTTCAGAAATCGTAGAACAATACAGACTTTAAGTAGAACAATCATACTTCTAAGAACATCTGTTAGAGTCAACTCAGAGAAAAAGAAAAACCACTCTGTGTATGAAGTCTTACTTTGTAAACATTCACACTTTTTGATTTACGCACACAAAGACTTCTTTTACTTTGAGATTTCAGTCACATTTCAAAACTAGAAATGCAGTATTCAAGGATCTAAATATTTAACATCAGTCCCACATTATCAGTTGCCATAGGTGTCATCGTTATATTCAAAAAGCCACAGGGGGCAAAACAATATTAGAATATGCCAGAGAGGTATTCCTTTTGATTGACTTAATTACAGAGAAGCATAAAATAGATTTCAAGTATCTTGCCTTTGTAGGAAAAAAAAAAAAAGATACTGTTTAAATAGACATTCCACTTCATTTTTGTCTTATTTTGAAAGCATCAAAAGAGTTCTCAAAGGTTTCCAATTTATTGAATCTATCTTGCATGTTCTGCACCATCACGGCGTACTTTGGATTTAAAAAATGAGCACCTACATCTGCACTGAATATTCCCAGTCAGGGGATGCATTGTTGCCTCCATTATGTTCTTTAAAAAACACTAAATTCCATCAGTTTTTCTAGCAAATATAGATTGACAAATGAAAAAAAAAAAAAATACTTTTTATTTATTTTTCTGTCAATCAATTCTTCGGCATAGACGATGCTGAAGAATTAATTCTTAATGGTCAGCAGAAGAGACCTTCTACATAAGGTCTGGCTCTCCAACCACAGCAACTACAGTGCATGCTCCGTAGTTGCTGTATGAACTTGCTAGCTGGTGCTGCTAGCGCTGTCTATGTAGTATACGATGTAGTGACATGATGTCACTCTGTTCACATGCCAGGTAGAGGTTAACACAGTAAAGGAGTTTAAGCATGCGTGGGATAGGCATAAGGCTATCCTAACTATAAGATAAGACTAGGGACTAATGAAAGTATTTAGAAAATTGGGCAGACTAGATGGACCGAATGGTTCTTATCTGCCGTCACATTCTATGTTTCTATGTAACCTGTAAATCCATAAAAAGGTAATGCCAACATTTCTAATAATACCTGCACCCTAAACATTTCCAAATTTTTCCTACCACTAACCCACTTTTGCTCCAGCTTTCTTTATGACTTGTTCCTTCAGCTGCTTCTACAACCATTTTTTGTTAAATATTTTTCAAAATTTGGAATGTCCTATTTGGCATTACTAATTAAGTCTCCACCCTTGCCTGTAAACACCTATTCAATAAGTTACAACATTTCTCTGCTTTCCACACCACTGTTGACGCCACAGCCTCACTCGCAAGGTCCAATCAAATGATTGGACCGTTCTCAACGTCTCAGAGTGCAAATAAAATATCAGTAACCAATGCAGGGAAGGCAGTGAGGGCTAAAATAATTAAGGGAGGGACGGAGGGCACATTGAGCTTCCCTATGCACTGCACGCTGACAGACTTATTTTTTGCACAAAATGTACATTAATCACATTTTCCAGGGATGCAGCAAACCCCAGCACAAAAGTGCAAATATCTCAGTATGTGCAGAGTTTCAAGCAGAAACACTGCAAATACAAACTCTTACCACAATATCTACTACTGAAAGTAGGAGTGGTCATGCTGGTTGGAGTAACCCTTAGCTATTTAAATGCCTCACAAACTGCTCAGTATTTACATACTTCTCCAGATCTCTGGCCGTCAACTCTTAACAAACCCTGCAAACTCATGTCTCAACTCCCCATTATTCCCTTTAGGTTGTAATCTCACAAGTCATCTTGTATAAAAATATTGTAATTTCTAGATATAAACTCATGACCCTTTTGTGTTTACAGTTTGGCTATATCCTGAACAGTTAGCAATGTTCAGTCTTCACAAATCGTAAATTGCTCTGGATCAGAACCCTCTTCACCTTTTGTATTGGACTGTGTATATTGTACTGCTTTTCCCCCCAAAATTATAAAACCCTGCGAAATAGGTTGGTGTTTTATAAATGCCAGTAATAATGCATGCGAATAATAATAATAGTGACGTTATTGAATGTGGGATCTCACCTTCTGTCTGGAAAGC